TGGATTTGAAACTGGGAACCAACTCCGGCCTGGTCTCCGAGCGGCCCCCGGTGCCTCTGTCAGCTCCTCCGCCTGCAGAGCTTTCCCCGGGCCCAAGTTCTCCCTCTGCAAAGCAGGAGAGAAGAGGGAAGCCGCCCATTAATCTCCAGGAACGTGCTTGGAGTGTGCAGCAGCCCAGACAAATGGCCAGGCTGTCTGGGCTGGCAGTGACATCTGCAGCAGCAGCCCAGGGAGTGGTGGAGGGCTCGCTCTGTGAGGAGGAGGAGGAGGCAGGGTCCGGCCAAGGTGGTCCTGGGGTCAGTCTTGATGTGTTCTGTGCCTTTTGGAGCAGACAGGGCTTAGAGTCCCGTCCCCCTGCGCATGCATGCATAATAAAAAACCCAAAGCAGTTAAAAGAGCAAGGCTACCCAGGCTCTCTAAAGACAATGCCCCCCCCCCCCCCCCCCCCCAAAAGAAGGGCTGCCGGGGTCCTGTCCTGGCACTGCCCTGGGGACAAGAGGGACTGAGCTGGCAGGCTGGTTGCAGGAAACGGCCAGGGCAGCGGTGAGTTTCCCAGAGGGGGCAGCTCTGCCCAGCTGGGCTGCGGAAAGGCCCTGGGCCGCCTGGTGTCCTGCACAGGGCAGGCAGGGCTCCAGGGCTCCAGGAGGGCTGGGAAAAGGGGGCTCGGGCTGTGGGGGGCGTGGCAGGGACGTGGGTTGCAGGTGCCTCGTGGTGTGGATGGCACAGGCCGTGGGGCTCCCTCCCTCCTCCTTGACCCCCCGGGGTGTGCGGCCGAGGCAGACTTTGCTGCAGGTAGCCCATCGTTTCGCGCCCCCCCCCCCCGCAGGCGGGCCCGGGTGAGGCAGCAGCATGGAAACAAATCTCTCCTGGTGTGGAGCGAGGGGTATAAATATCCCGGGAGTGATGTGATCTTTCCAGCTGCTATTAATAGGCCCCCAGAGACTCGGCCAGCCCCGTCGCAGCTGACACTTAAAGGGACAGTGACACACACACACACCCCGCATCCCGCATCCCGCTGCTGGGTGAAGCCCCACCTTCGAGGAGTGGGCCAGGACTGGCAGCTACAGGCCAGCCCGGCCAGGCAGGGGGGGCGGGGGCATGGGCTCAGCAGTCACAGCCCCCCACCCCACCCCCGCTTGGTTGCGTACTTCCCAGGCCTGCCGGTGTCGGGGTGCTGTGTCCTCCTGAGGGGGGGGCTCTGGACTGCTGGGCTAGCGGCAGGCGGGCCTTCTCCCTCCCCTCCCCCCCCACCCCGGCCCAGCTCTGGGGCAGCCTCTGTGCTTTGCCATCAGGCGCGGCTGGGCTGGGCCGTTCAGGCCTCCCTCCGACGCGGAGCCCCTCTTATCCCAAAGAAAGGGTGGCCGCCCTAGAGGCTCCAGCCTGTGGGCCGTGAAATGGCCCTGGCAAACTGGACAGCCAGCTCCCAGCCCCCACGGCCGGGGGGGGGGAGCCCCCGCTCTGCTTGAGGGAGGGGCTGCTGGGGAGCTGGGGCTCCTGGGTCCGGCTGGCCGGCTGGGGGGGGAGGAACCGGGGCTTCCTGTTTGTGGGCCGGGCCAGGCTGTGCCGTGTCCCCGTACAGTGACCCCAGGCGACCTCGGCCAAGGCTCAGGGGCCCTTCCCAGGCCAGCTCTCCTTCCCCAGGGCAGCCCCTGCCATGCCTGGAGGGGGGGGCTCCTCCTCCGCCTCCTCCTCCGCCTCCTCTTCCATGGGAGGGGGTGGGCAGAGCTGTGCCAGGGCCAAGGCAGTCGGGCACACAAAGCTGAGGGGCACAGAAAAAGTATGTGATGATGATAACGAACGTTGTGTTCTCGTCACTCTTGTTCTCTGATGGATTTACCTTTTTACCAAAGTGACTGCTCTGAAAGAACAGGGGGCGCATTTGATATTCCTGCCCCCAGTGCGGAATCAGCTAGCTATGGCCCCCGGGGCGGGGGCGGCAGTTTTGCCAAAGGCTGGCCAGGGCCACAGGGCTGTTTTGGAAGGGCCTCTTTGGCCAATGCCATTTATTTATTTGGAACCTTTGTATTTTCCCTTTCTGGCCCCAGGAGTTCTGATGTGAACGTGTTTTTAATGTCTACATAGTTGGGAAGCGCTTCCCATACTTTCCTCTCTCCTCCCCCCCCCCTTCCTGTAGGGCGGCGGTTGGCATTTCGCAGCAGTGGGGCAGTCCAGCGTGGTGGGCACTGCCCCGTCCCTGTTGGCGCTCTGCCTGCCTGCCTGCACTTGTGCCCTCCCCTTCCTCCCTGAGCCCCAGGGGGTGTGCGTGGTTCCCCCCCCTTCCGCTACCGCATCCCTACGACAGCCTTGCAAGGTGGCTGGCCCCAGGTCGCCAAAGGTGCTCAGGGCAAAGGAGGGCTTAGAGACCCTGACCCGACCCGCCCCCCTCTAGTCCTCACCCAGCACTTGGGCATTGTTGGTGCGGGAGGGCCCCCTCCTCGGCCTCGTGGTCTCCTGGGCAGGGCAGCCGAGTGGGCCGAGCTCTGGGGCTGTGGCTAAGATCTCCCCACTCCCACCCCCATGGGAGTGGGGGCACGCCTCTTGGGTTGTACGGGAGTGCGCCCAAAGCCCCGTTCCAGGCCCTTTCAAAACATCCACCTCCACCGAATAGACCTGGGTCTGGAGGGACATAGACCTGGGTCTGGAGGGACGGGGCAGCTGGATTGCGTGGCCCCGCTGAGCCCCTCCCTCAGCTGTGCTGCACCCGGACATTGTCCAGCCACCCTGCTCTCTGGAGTGCTGCGTGGACACCTCCGTGTGCACCAGTCTCTGCTGCCACAGCTAGGCCCACCTGCCGTGCTGTGTCTTGTTCTGAGAGCCAGTTTGGTGTCGTGGTGAAGTGCGCGGACTCTAATCTGGGACAGCCAGGTTTGATTTCCCACTCCTCCACTTGCACCTGGCCAGATGACCTTGGGCAAGCCATCGTTCTCTCAGAGCTGTTCTTGAAAAAGAGCAGTTTCTGTCAAGAGGTCTCTCAGCCCCACCTCCCTCACAGGGTGTCTGTTGTAGGGAGGGGAAGGGAAAGGAGATTGTCAGCCGCTCTGAGACACCTTTGGGTAGTCTCTTCTTCTTCTTCTGTGCTGATCTCCATCTTAGCTTGGCTGCAGCCTTCCAAGTGATCCAGAAACTTTGGGAAGGGGCTCCAGATGCTCCCCCAAGTAGCCAGTATGGTGTAGTGGTTAAGTGCACGGACTCTAATCTGGGAGAACCAGGTTTGATTCCCCACTCCTCCACTTGCACCTGGCTGGGTGGCCTTGGGCAACCCGTAGCTCTGGCACAGCTGTTCTCTCAGGAGCAGTCCTCAAGAGAGCTCTCTCAGCCCCACCTACCTCACGGGGTGTGTCTGTTGTGGGGAGGGGAAGGGATGGGAGTTTGTAAGCCGCTCTGAGACTCCTTTGGGTAGTGAAGGGCGGAGGATAAATCCAATCTCTTCTTCCTCTTCCTCCTCTTCCTCCTCCGCCTCCTCCTACTACTACTAGAAGGGATTCTCTTTCCTCCCAGCAAGAACTTCCTGATCGTTAGAGCCGTTCCTCAGTGGAACAGGCTTCCTGGGGAGGTGGTGGGCTCTCCTTCTTTGGAGGTTTTCAAGCAGACGCCAGATGGCCATCTGACAGCAATGCGGATCCTGTGAACTCAGGCAGATCATGAGAAAGGAGGGCAGGAAGGGTTGCCTCAGTGCTTGGTTCTTGTGGCCCTTTCTTCTTCTTCTTTTTTTAAGTATATTTTATCGAAACTTTTTTATTTTCTTTTTTTAACAGAATAAACAGTGTAAGTAATTGCAAATTTGTCAATAGTAAAAGCATCATCAGAATAATACGCAGGAAAACAGTATTCAACATTAAAGGAAATAATATGCTGTAAAGAACCCATGCTCAGTAGCCATTTCCACTCCTTAAAAGTCTGACTAATAATGATGAGGGTCTATAGCCATTCCATGTAGTGAGGATTTTGAGGGATTACATCGTGTGCTACCATGTACTGAAGGAAGGAGAACCATGTTTTGACAAAGTTAGATTTTGTATTTGAGGCCATGTGTTTTCTGTCATTGAAAGTTTCAGCAATCCTGTCCATTACGAAGTGTTCCCAGCATTTATTTCTCCACATTCTAATATCTGGTGGGTCTGGGGATTTCCAAGCAGCCACCACAGTTAGCCTTGCAGAGGCTAGTAGAGTGGAAGTGAGAGTCGAGATGTTCATATTCTGGGAGTCTCTGTCCACTAGCTGCAATAATATTACTGCAGGATTCTAGAGGAAGCTTTTGGGATGTGATTGCTGCGATCTCTTCTATCACTTGTCTCCAGAAAGATTGTACTGCCGGGCATTCCCACCAACAGTGGAAAAAATCACTTACATTCCCGCACCATTTCCAACAGAGATGGTTATAGTCTGGGTGCATATGTCGCAGTCTTACAGGGGAGAGGTACCACCGTGTTTGGAGTTTGAAAAACTGTAGCCGTATGGAAAAGATTCTGGATTTGCAAGCGTGTGAGCTCCAGATTTGATACCATTGTTGGGTGGATAGCTCTTTGTGAAGGTCTTTGTGCCAGGCTGTCTTATTAGACATAAATTTGTCTTTTTCCTCTTCCAGCAAAGATTTGTAGACCTGTGAAGGAATACCTTTTGTTTGAACAGCAGATTTGTCGAGAATACGCTCGAATATTGTCTTGAGTCTTGAGAATGTTCCTTGATCAGCTGTTCATGGCCCAGGGAAATGCTGGCCGCCACTTTGGGGTTAGGGAGCAGTCCTGGAGGTTTTTTGTCATCTTCTGGGCGTGGAACAGGGGTCACTGGGGGTGTGGTGGGGGAGGTAGTTGTGAATTTCCTGCATTGTGCAGGGGATTGGACTAGATGACCCTGGAGGTCCCTTCCAACTCTATGATTCTGTATGCTGTGGCTTTAGCTTGACGGGGGGGGACCACGCAACCTGCCCCCGGTGCTTCTGGATTGAGGCCGTCACCCTGGCTGACCCCTGTGTTTCTTTTCTCTCCCCTGTGGCAGGCAGACATCGCAGAGACTTGGAGCTTCCTCCGGCCTTAGCCAATCAAATGCACCCGGACAGTAAGCTGACCAATCATGGCAAGACAGGGAGCAGCAGCGCCCAGCCCCAGCCCCACAATGTGAGCCAAGGCCCCGCCTGCCACCTGGGCGCGAAGGGCGTGGGGGCCGGGAACCATGGTGGCAAAGTGGGGCAGCCCCCTCCCGGCAACTCTGGACTGAAGCCCACCCCGGCTCCCCTCCCCGTCTTTGGGGCCTTGAAAGGCAAAGTGAAGCGGGAGCGGAGCGTTTCCGTGGACTCGGGAGAGCGGCGAGAAGTCCGTGCGGCCTCCCTGGACAAGGAGCTGAAAGGTGAGGGAGCCCACGGGGTGGGGGCGGGGGGGCGGCCCAGCCGGCCAGCCAGGGTGTGGAGCGGCGTTGACCCCCGGGGGAGGGTGTCTTACCGGGCGAGGGGCTTCAGGCTGTTCTCTCCCTCTTCGCAGGAGAAGTGGCTCCTCGGAGCAAGCGGCGCTGTGTGCTGGAGAGGAAGCAGCCCTACAGCGGGGACGAGTGGTGCTCCGGCCCCGACAGCGAGGAGGACGAGAAGGCGCTCGGTGGCAGCTCCCACAGTGAGTCCAGCTTGGCCCCTGCCTCGTGGGGCCCCCGGGGGTCTCGGGGCATTGCAGGGGTTACTTGGGAACTCAAGCCACGCCTTCCCCTCCCCCCCCTCCCCCCAGAAGTGGCAAGATGGACGTCCCGGGGGCTGTGTCACCCCCGGGTCCGGAGCAGTGTTCCCTCTAAGCTGAGTTAGTGTGAGCCAGCTCACAGTTTTCTAGCCTCCGGCTCACACATTTTCACCTTGGCTCAGGAAGGATGGGGCTCCGGAGCAAACTAATTGATGCAGCAGTGAAATCACCCGCTCACAACTTTAATGCCAGTAGCTCACAAAGTAGAAGTTTTGCTCACAGGACTCCACAGCTTAGAGGGAGCATTGGTCCAGAGTCCCCAGCCTCTGAGAGCGTCCCTGTGCTGCCCCCAAGTTCCCTGGGTCTGTTTGTGGGTTTGCAGAGCAAGAGGGGCGAGGAGAAGTCCAGGCGAGGAAGAGCTGGGGGGGGGGCAGCCTGTGGGCAGTGTTCTCTCTAAGCTGAGTTAGTGTGAGTTAGCTCACAGTTTCTTAGCCTCCGGCTCACACATTTTTGTCTTAGCTCAGGGAGGAGGGCTCCAGAGCAAACTAATTTATGCAGCAGCCAAATCACCCGCTCACAACTTTAATGCCAGCGGCTCACAAAGTAGAATTTTTGCTCACAGGACTCCACAGCTTAGAGGGAGCCTTGCCTGTGGGTCTCCGCCTCCTCCCTCTTTGCACAGAATAGTGGAGTTGTGCCCCCCCCCCTCGGGAGCCTTACAGTATTGCCTTGAAGGCACTCCAAACAGGGTGGGTCCGGTTAGAAACAAATTGCAGCCACTCGGCCACAAAACCAGGAGCCGTGGATTCCACCCCTGAGAGGCAAGGAGATGGGTTTCATGTGCCGGCTCCAAGTGGTCTGTGTAGGTGCCGGGTGACCTGGCGTGGCTGTGAGGAGGGGTGGTCCATGGCTGGAGTGGCGGCACTGAGAACGCCCCCCTCCCTCCCTCCACCGGGAGGGGGGTGCTTGGAGAAGGGCTGGGACCCAGAGACCCCCACGCCTCCGGCAACAGCACTCAGTGTGTGTGTGTGTGTGTGTGCGCGCGCACTTTGGATGGAGGCAAGAGGAGGGTGCGCCTTCCCACTGTCCCTTTTCCTTCCGGGTTGATGCTCACCAGCCCCTCTTGACTGCTGGCCGAAAGCAAGTCCTCCAGCACTCTGGGGGGCAGTTTTAAAGTGGCTTTTTTCTGTGGCAAATGCGCAGCCTCTGAGGGAGGGTATCCTGTCCTGATTTTACATCCCCCCCCCCCAGCCCACCCCAAGTAGACTTGCTCTTCTCCCTCCGCCCCTCACGGCCACCGTCTTCCACTTCCTGGGAATTGCCCCCTCTCTCCTAACGGGAGCCAGACTCCCCAGAGACTCCCCCGGGCGGGGGGGGGGTTGGCGGCGGCGACGGGCAGGCTGTGTAGCTGGCAACCGCACTGAACTCCATTGCTCACGGGTGGGGGGGGCATCTCCCCATGTTGTTGCACAAGTCTGAGCAGGAAATGCCATCTTAGGACATAGCGGTTGCTGAAAGGATTGGTGGGCGGGGGGCGGGACCCGAAGTGTCCCAAACTGGGGTGGGAAGTCTGTGCCCACCCCCCATCCTAGCCAGTCACACTTGGAGGGTTCCCGTTGTGTGCTGCCACCTGCTGGACACTGTGCAGGAAGCCAAGCGCTGGAAGGGAGACCCGGTGGTGACAGGGCAGCCGTGGTGGTGGTGGTGGTGGTGGTGGGGCTACGATGGCCTGCCCCCAGGGGCTGGCTGTGTGGGAGCGTCTCGCTCGCCCCGTCCCTCTGACCTCCTCCTCGCCTCACAGATTGTAATGTGGCAGAGTCGGCGATGACTGCGGCCTCGCAGCTGGGCACAGGACCCAATGCGCTGCCCGCCCTGAGTGAGAGCAATGCGTCCGGCACCCCCCACAGTGCGGCGCCTGGCCTGCGGTCCGAGGCTGGGAGTGGCGGAGGGAAGCAGCCGCTGCAGGTCGTCTACGTCTTCACCACGCACCTGGCCAATACGTGAGTGCCCTGGGGGCTCGGGCTGGGCGCTCCGCAGCTGACCTCTGCTGGGTCTGGCGCCGGGGTCTCTCTTCTGCCAAGGGGGGGTCTTTCCCCTAGGACCGCCCCCCACTCCCCTCCCTCTCCCGTTGATCCATCCCAGGGCTCAGCTGGGAGCCGGGGTGCCTTCCTGGCTGGCTGGCTGTCCTGAGGCACACCTGCCCTTGGCCCTTCCCTTCCCGGGAGGAGGAGATGTGGCCCGTCCCCCGCCCCCCACAGAGCCTCGAGGTCTCGCCAGCAGCTTCCCTGACGGCTGCCGCTATCCTTGCAGGGCTGCGGAGGCGGTGCTCCAGGGCCGCGCAGACTCCATCCTCGGCTACCACCAGCAGCACGTGCCCCGGGCCAAGTTGGACCAGGTAGGAGGCGGGTGAGGGGGCGGCGTGGGGGGGGGCTCTTGCGTTGAACTGCAGAATCCTTGCCTCGTTTCTACCCCCCCCTTCCTCCACATGGGGGAGTCCACGTGGCTTCCGTCGTCCTCCTCTCTTCCATTATGCCGTCACAACAGCCCTGGGAGGGAGGGAGGGAGGGGGGTGAGGGTGGCTGGCTGGCCCAAGGCCGAGTGGGGAGTTGAACCCGGGCCTCCCAGACCCTGGTCGGGCACTCTGCCCGGTGCGGTGCCGGCTCCCTGGGTGGCTGCGGCGAGAGGGCTGCAGATCCAGGGGCTGAGCGGAGGGGGGGAACTGTGACGGGAGCCTCCCCTTTCTTTCCTCGCAGGTCCCTGCCTCCAAGCTGCCTGCAGTCCCTGAGCCGCTGCCCATGAGCCCGTCTCCCGCCAGCACCCCGCAGTCTCAGACCGCCATGCCGCCAAGTAGCCAGGGCCAGCCTCCGCCTCATGTGCCCCCGCCGGCCCCGCCACCGGCTTCTGCCCCACTGGGCCTTGGCCAAGGACCATTGCCTCCTGCGAGCACCCTGCCACCCGAGGGAGCCGCCGATGATGCCCGGAGGGACCTCACGCCCAACTCGGTGGGCAACGGTGGTGGCGGCGGCGGCACCGCCCCCAGCGGCACCTGTCCCAACACCCCCCCGGCCCCTGGCTCCCTGCCGGGGAGTGCTGCAGACAGCCTGCTCGGGGAAGGAGCTACCCCCGGGGGGGCCCCCTCTGCTGGGAACGGCCCCCGCCACCCACTGAGCACGGAAGGCCTCTCCAAGGAGCAGCTGGAGCACCGGGAACGCTCGCTGCAGACTCTGCGGGACATCGAACGGCTGCTCCTGCGCAGCAGTGGCGAGGCAGAGCCCTTCCTCAAGGGGGCTCCAGGCTCGAGCGAAGGCGGCCTCCTGCCTCCCCAGGCCCCTCCCCCCCAGCCGCCAGCCCCTCCCCCTGGCGCCGGCATGAAGAAATACGAAGAGCCTCTGCAGTCCATGATCTCCCAGACCCAGAGCCTGGGAGGGCCGGGCTTGGAGCAGGAGGGGGCCGTGCCCCCTGGGGTCGACATGGGCCAGCAGATGAACATGATGATGCAGCGGCTGGGCCAGGACAGCCTCACCCCCGAGCAGGTGGCGTGGCGCAAGCTGCAGGAGGAGTACTACGAGGAGAAGCGGCGCAAGGAGGAGCAGGTCGGCATGCACGGAGGCCGGCCCCTGCCGGAGATGCTCCTCCCGCCGCAGCCCATGAGTGGCATGGTGCTGCGGGGGCCTCCGCCACCCTACCACAGCAAGCCCGGGGAGCAGTGGCTGCTGCGGAGCCTGCCCGGGGAGCCCCTACAGGAGCCACTGCAGATGCGCCCCCCCTTTGCGGGGCCGCGTTTCCCAGGCAGCCAGATGCAGAGGGGCTTTGGGGGGATGCAGAACATGCCTCCCCTTGAGGCCCTGGGCCCCCTGAGCACCATGCAGCGCCCGGCGAGGCCCGGCATCACCTGGAGCGAGGAGATGCCCATGGGGGGCCCAGGGAACTTTGCCCCCGCCAACCTGCCTTACCCGCCGGGGCAGGGGGAGGCTGAGCGCTTCTTGACGCCCCGGGCGCGGGAGGAGATACTGCGGCAGCAGCTGCTGGAGAAGCGGCAGAGCGGGATGCAGCGGCCGCTCGGCGCGGAGATGGAGCGCATCATGCAGGCCCATCGGCAGGTGGAGCCCGCCCTCTTTGCCAGCGAGGCGCTGGGCCTGGAGTTTGGGGGTGCGCGGGCGGTGCTGAGCCCCCCGCTGCGGGACATGGAACCCTCCTTGGGCCCTGGGAACCTCAACATGAACATGAACGTCAACATGAACATGAACTTGAATGTGCAGATGGCCCCGCAGCAGCAGCAGCAGCAGCAGATGTTGCTGTCCCAGAAGCTGCGTGGCCCGGAGCTGGTGCCCTCAGAGGACGTGGCCCGGGCTCGGGCCCCCAGTGGCAACGGAGCCATGCTGGGGGGCCCCCACAAGATGCTGATGGGTTCGCCCTTCCCCGGCCCAGGGCAGCCGGGCTTCTCTTCGGGCGGGCAGGGCCCGTACCCGGCCATGTCGCAGGAGATGGGGAGCGCGCAGGAGATGTTTGGGCCCGCGGGCAGCACCACCCGGCTCAGCCACATTCCCCTGCCCCCGACCACCCACGCCCCCTCCACAAACATGCCCCAAGCCCCTGCCCGAGGCCTCTGCCGGCGCCCGTCTGACCTGGCCCTCAACATGGGGCCGATGAACTCTCCCGGCGTGGGTCGCCTGAAGTCCCCCACACTCAGCCAGGTGCACTCGCCTCTGGGCACCTCCCCTTCGGCAAACCTGAAGTCCCCCCAGACGCCCTCGTCGGCCATGGTCAACCTGCCAGCCGCCAGCGCCCCCGGCGGGCCTCTCGGGTCCCCTCAGGTGCTCAGCTCCGTGCTCAGTGCCCGCTCCCCGGCCAGCTCGCCCGGCCACCTCAAGTCGCCATCCATGGCCGCGTCCTCACCAGGCTGGGCGCCGTCACCCAAGAATGCCCTCTCCAGCCCGGCCATGGGCCAGAGCAAGCCAGCCATCGGAATGAGCAACTCTGCACCCCTGGGCAACATCGAGCAAGGTAAGGGGCGTCTGCCTGCTCCCCCGTCTACCGGTGCCAGGGGAGGGGCAGGCAAGAGGGGAACGGGGACTCCCAAACAGGAATCCGTGTTGAGATAGAAACACGAGTTGTGCTTCTCTGGCCAGCTGGCCAGCCATCTGTTTGAAACCCTCAGAATGCAGTTTGACAGCGGTCGTGATCCAAGAGAAAGCGGTTAAGTAAGCAGTGAACAGCAAAACTGTTTCTCCCTTGGTAGACAGGAGGAGATCGTATTTGGTTGGGAATCAGTTTGTCTTAATGAGCCAGCCTTGAAGAGAAGAGTCTTCGGCTAAATACGAGGAAGAACTTCCTGACAGTTGGAGTGGTTCCTCAGTGGAACGGGCTTCCTCGGGAGGGGGTGGGCTCTCCTTCTTGGGAGGTTTCCAAACAGAGGCCAGGTGGCCACCTGACAGCCATGCGGATCCTCTGAACTCAGGCAGATCACGAGAGGGAGGGCAGGACGGGTTGCCCAGTGCTTCGTTCTCGTGGCCCTGTCTTACCCACCCAGGGGTGTAAGAATGTACTTCTTCGCCCAAAGAGTGATGAACACATGGAATTCACACTGCCACAGGAGACAGTGGCAGCTACAAGCACGGACGGCTTCAAAAGGGAATTAGATAAGCATATGGAGCAGAGGTCCATTGGTGGCTCTTAGCCACAAGGTATAGATAGGGGCTCTTGGTCTGGGGCCAGGGATGCTCTGTCTTCTTGGTGCTTGGGGGGGGGCAACGGAGGGCTTCTAGTGTCCTGGACCTCCTGATGGCCTCTGGTAGTTTTGGCCACTGTGTGACACAGAGTGTTGGACTGGATGGGCCATCGGCCTGATCCAACATTGGCGTCTCTTATGTTCTTATGTTCTTAAATGCTGATTGCCACTTTGGGGTCAGGAAGCAATTTTTTTCCAGGCCAGTTTTCTCATCTTCTGGGTGTGGACCAGGAGTCACTGGGGGGGGGGGGGTCGGGGGGGGTATCTGTGAATTTCCTGCATTATGCAGGGAGTTGGACTAGATGACCCTGGAGGTCCCTTCCAACTCTATGATTCTATGAAAATGCCTGACGCACCAGCTGAGGGACTGTGACGTTGGTCCTTCTGTCCTGGGTCCTAATTGGTGCACTTGCCTAGCTGTGTCTGGGGGGGGGGGGGGGGGGGGTCTCCTCTGAGCTGCATGCACACACACCCCTTTCTGGAGGGACTCAGGCCAGCAGACCCCGCCGTGAAGGGACGCTGCCACTCAGCTGCTCGCTGTGTTTGCCGTTGCAGGTTCCCTGCCCCCCGGGCCTCGGAGCAGCTCCTCTGCGCCCCCCGGCAACCCCAACCTGCCTTTTCCTTCCTCTCCAGATCCGCCCCCGTCCCAGAACCCCCTGTCCCTCATGATGAGCCAGATGTCCAAGTACGCCCTGCCCAGCTCCACCCCCCTCTACCACAACGCCATCAAGACGATCGCCACCTCCGATGATGAGCTGCTGCCGGACCGGCCGATGCTTCCGCCGGGGGCCATGGCGGGTAGGTCCCGAGGCCAGGGGGGGGGAGCCGGCAGGATTCTGCAGGGCTGCCGCAGGGCCTCGTCAGAACTCCCTCTCTGCCCCGGGCAACAGTACCGAGCCTTCCCCGTGAGCGGCTGGGGCCCCTCTGTGTCCGGGGCCCAGTGGTGCCCTTGGAGGGCCTGGCGGCTCCCCCTGCTTTCTCCTCTTTGACCAGGGCAGAGCGCACCTCTCCACCCGGAAGGTCCCCCAGGGGCTGGGGGAGGGTAATCCCGTTCCAAGACGGCCTGGCCCCCATGGCAGGAGGGGGGTGCGTCAGAGGCGGAGGGCCGAGTAGAACGAGGCCCTTGCTCCAAACCTCTCGGCCGGTGGTGCCAGTTGCGGGGGGGGGGGCATTGCGGCTGTGTGGTTTTATCTCCGAGGAGCCCTCCTCTGCTGCAGGTGACCTGACGGCTCTCTTTCCCCCCCCAGCAGGCGTAGGAAGCGGCCAGTCCGGCCAGCTGCACATGAACTCGGTGGGGGTGCCGCCGGCTCCGAGCCCCCTGGCCCTCAGCCTCCCTGGACAGCAGCCACTCTCCCACGAGCCTCCGGCACCCAACATGTCCTCCCCGAGCCCACTGGGCTCCAACCTGCCCATGCACAGCGGCGCCCCGACCCCCATGATGCTGCCCCCTGGGGCCCAGGACTCGCTTGGCCAGCCCTGCGGCCCCCCCGGCCAGCTGGTCTTCCCGGCTCGCCTCCAGCAGCCTCCCGCCAACGGGGGCAGCCTGCCCGGGGCCGGGGGGCCGAGCATGCCGCAGCAGCAGCACTACGCGCCTGGCCTGGGGCTGCCCCCCGAGGAGCTGCCCCCGCCACAGCCCGGCCCGATGGTCCCGCCACAGCGTATGGGTGGGAGGATGCCGGAGCCGTACCCCCCCGTGCTCCCCGGCGTGGCCTCAGTGCTGAACGACCCGGAGCTGAGCGACGTGATCCGCCCCACGCCCACCGGCATCCCCGAGTTCGACCTCTCGCGCATCATCCCATCCGAGAAGCCCAGCAGCACGCTGCAGTACTTCCCGAAGGGCGACGGGCAGCCCCCCCCCAAGGCCCAGCCCCCCTCCAATCTCCACCTGATGAACCTGCAGAACATGATGGTGGAGCAGGGGCCCCCCGCCCGGCCCGGCCCCCAGGGCATGATGCCGCGCTCCATGGCCCTGTGCCACCCCGGACAGGTGCCCGTGCTGGGCAGGACAGGCCTGGCGCCCCAGCAAGCCATGATGGGCAACAGCATGCACCAGGGCATGATGCTGCCCCAGCAGAACCTGATGGCCCAGCAGAACTTCTTGCTGATGCAGGCCAAGCAGCGCAGCATGTCGGTGTCGGGCGAGATGTATGCCCCGCCAGGCCACCTGCTCTCGCCGCAGGGCTCCCTCATGGGCCCTCCCCCCCAGCAGAGCCTCATGGTCTCCCACCCCATGCGCCAGCGCAGCGTCTCCCTGGACAGCCAGATGAGCTACGGGGGCCCGGGGGCCGGCAGCATGGCCAACCTGCCCTTCTGAGGACGCCGGCGGGAGCGGAGGCCCGGCCCCTTTTGGCCACGGAGATCGATCGGATTGGATCTTTCCCGAGTGTGAATTCTTCCTTCCTTCCTGCTTTTTGTGAAGAGAGGCAACCAAGATGTGCAAGAGGGACTGGGAAAGCTGTAAATAGGTGGGAGGGGGGGAAGCGACGACAAAGTTTTGCTGGTTTGAAATTGTTGTATTTCTGTGTTTTAATAGAAGCCTCAAAAACCTGTTTGGAATGAAACAAAAAAATCCCACTGACCCAAAGCCGGCTCATCGTGGACTCACCAGGCAGGCCTTGCCCCACCCCCACCCCCCATCTGGCCGAGGCTGCGGGTGACTTCTTCTCTTCCCCCACCCCCAGCTTGGGGCTGCTTCGCCCTGCTGCAGAACAGGTCTGTTGGGCTGCATCTGCGGACCAGGCGCCCCTTGCCCCTCAAGGCCCGGGGGGGGGGAGGCAGACTGTGCTTGCGCCCCCTCAGGCCGTGGGGCTGTCTGCGGACCAGGGCCTTGGGACTTGCTGTGCAGTGGAATAAACCCCACCCTGCCCCATCCTTACAGGTCTCCCTGAGAGCCGTTTGCCGCCCTCGGAAGCCCGAAACCCCTTGGGTTGGATTTTCTGCTCCTCCCTCCGTCCCACCCCTCCCCCAGTCGCCCTTGGAGGGGCTGTGATGCCCAGGGGGGCACCGGTGCGGTTCCTGTTTCCCCTCCCCCACCCTGCATCGGTCAGGCAGGAAGAGCTCCGGAGTCCCCACCCACAGGGCTGCCCTGAGGGAGCCTGGCCTTCCCTTTGCTCTGCGTCCTTGGCTTTGCTGGGGTTTTCCAGGTGTTCGTTTGGGATTCGTTCCCAGGGGGGGGGACTATTCCCATTTCTAACCCACACCCCCTTCCTTCTTGGGACCGCTCTGTCTGCACAGGGAAGGAGGGGGCTCCTGGGCAGAGGGACCCTCCTCCTCTCCCCCCCGCCCCGTCTTGGGGAAGGGTCTCAGAGCCGCCCCCCTGCTTCCTTGCCAGCCCACGGCGACCATGGCACCGGACCCTGCAGCTCCCTCTGGGCATAGAGCCGTCAGCCGATGCCCCATTTCGATCTCCGGTTGGCCCCCAGCTTGTCGCCCGCCTGCCCTGCAGAGGACCACGATAAGGGTGGTGCTGTCAGGGCAGGGGTCCCTGGGAGAGAACGGCGGGGGTGGGAGGGTGCTTTGGCAGGAGGGGGGTGGAGGTGGGAACAAGCCCATCGCCCTGAGGAGCAACCAAGAAGCTGCTGCTCAGCCCCTGACCCGGCAGGCAGCCATGTCCCTCTGTGGCCCCTCGCTCCCGCGGTGTCACGTTTGCCGGCCCCCGCCCGCCTTGCCTGGCACTGTGAATGTCGTCCCGTCTTGCGTCTCGTGCTTCTTGCTCAGCTGCCCGGCCTGCGCAGGGCCCACTCCCCGTGGCCACCCAAGTCACCTCTGTTCATTGCAGCAGCAGCAGCCTCTCTGCCCGCTCCAGGCAATGGCAACGGCTCGGGGGGGGGGGCAATATAAATATATAAATACAATATGTGAAGACATCTTCTTGGTTTTTATTTTGAAATGATTTCTAGGCTTGTTTTTGGGTCTCTGTGCTGCTTGTAACGTATTGATTGACCTGTTTTATAGGGTGCTTTTTTATTAAAAAGAGACATTTCAAACCTCGCCTGGTGGGCGGCTTTTGCTGGCGTCTTTGGTTGTGGAGGGGGGAGGTCTGCAGGAGCCGCAGCCGGGAAGGCCTCTTTCTGAAAAGCCCCCTGGACCCCAGAGGCTGGTCGAGGGCTGCGGCTTTTCAGCGGTGGTGAGACGGCACTTTGCGCATGGTCAGATGCAGTCAGTATGTCCTGTATTGCGGGTTCCATCAAAGGCCTGCTTTATTTACTGCCCACCCCCTCAAAGAGGGTGTGCTCAAATGCTCTATACTATTGCTCCCCCCCACCTGTGTGTGCCTGAGGGGGCCCTCCCCTTTCCTGAGGGGCATGCCCATAGACTGCCCAAAAGGGGCCCAGCAGGTAGAGACACCCCCCCAGCTGGTCTCTGCTCAACAGACTTCTTGGCTGAAGGCTTCACGTGCACCCCTCCCTTCTGGCTCAGGAATCCTAATCTTCTGGGGCCTCCACAGCTGCATGGGAAGGCCCAGGGCTGCCCCCATCCCATCGTGGCCAGGCCATGTTCCTTCCTCTGAAGCCAGAATCGGGGGGGGTGTCTGGTCAAAGCACCACCAAGCCAGTTTGGTGTCAGGGTTAGGTGCGCGGAGGACTCTAATCTGGGAGAGCCGGGTTTGATTCCCCACTCCTCCACTCACAGCTGCTGGGTGACCTTGGATCAGTCACAAGCTCTGTCAGAGGTGTCCTTGAAAAAGAGCAGTTTCTGCCAGAGCTCTCTCAACCCCGCCTACCTCACAGGGTGTCTGTCTGTGGTGGGGAGGGGGAGGGAAAGGAGTCTCTAAGCCTCTCTGAGACTCCTTCGGGTAGTGAAGGGCAGGGTGTAAATCCAGTCTCCTCCTCTTCCTCCTCCTCCTTCTCTTCTTTCAGCAGGCTTCCCCCCCCCCAACTTGGCTCCTGTTGCCAACTCTCTCCCTTCTGATAGTTGCTGTGCAGAGCTGGGGAAGGAGGGCTTCTGGCAACAACCCAGACGGGGGAAGATAAGCAAACTGCCCCCCCCCCCAAGTGTTGGGTGCCAAATGCAGTCCCTACTGGCAGGCGTGCCCCCCGCACCCCCCCCCCCACACACGGAACCTCCCCTCCATCTGACTGCCTGTCCCGGGGTTCATTCCAAGATGGGGGGGGTGCTGAGAGAGCAAAGGGGACACAAGATGACCTCGGCCTGAGGCGGTTTCACACTTTATTTGACACAGGAATCGGTTGCGTAGGGAAGCAGTGCAGCCATGCGGTTCCCCCCCCCCCCAGCCCCCTTTTCTGCTGCACACGCCTTTGAGGAGAGGGGTGATGCCCGGGCACCTCCTGGGCCACAGAGAGCTGCAGGGCTCCACGGTGGTGTGCAGGCGAGAGGGAGGGAGGGACCCCCGTAATGCATCTCCCCCAGGGACTCCCTGCCTGCTGGGCTTGCGAGTGGCCTTTCACCAGCTGTGGCCACTGCTCCCCCCCCACTGGGTGGTGGATTCACGGGGGTGGGGGGGGAGTGTTCCACTGGCCTTGGGGGTGAGGTTGAAAGCTGCTCCATCTTCCTTGGCAGAGTCCTGCTTGTGCATCCAAAAGGGAGGCTGCTGTGTATTTTATGTGGTCCGGGAGGGAGGGTCAGTCTCCAGATGGGCTCAGATGGGATAACAAGGCAAGCACGCCCACCTTCCTGGCTTCACCTCCCTCTGATCAGCCATGAATAGGCTGGAACGGGACCAAGGAGCCCGGTGGACATGGTGTGCCAGTCTTCCTTGGCCTGAGCAAGTTGCGCTTTGCTTGACTTGGAATGCCACCACCACCACCCCCGCCCCAGCAGCTCTTCCTTTCAAGGGGGCAAGGAGGGGAGGCCCTCCTGCTGGGCTGCCGGGGATCCCCATGGCCGCCTCAGCCGGAAGCCCTCTAGCGGGAAAATGCAGAGGATGCCCAGGTACCTGTGGACATGCGGACGGGAACCATGCAGAAAAGCCCTGGGGGGGTGGGCAGCTGCCCCCATTTTTAGGGCAAGAAGGGGGGCTTAGGGGCCTTGCAACCCCCCAGCCAGGGGATAAGAAAGCCTCTGTGGTGCTAGGCAAAAGCAGGACCTCCACCTTGTGGGCGGGGCTGGGGTGGCAAAAGGCCCCTGGCCAAGCCAGGCCCCCACCTGCTCACTGGGCCGTGTGTCTGGTCAGGGTAGGGGGCGGAGGGCTGCCGCGCCGCGCCGAGGGGGGCCTCCATCTCGGTGGTGCTCTCCGTCCCCCAGGCGCCCAGGATGTCTTGCAGCGCGGCTTGTCTCAGGCAGCCCAGGTCGTGCAGGAGGCGGCAGGCGTCGCGGCGGAACCTGATGCCCACAAAAGCGTAGAGGAGGGGGTTCAGGCAGCAGTGGCTGTAGCCAATAATCTCACTCACTAGGGTGGCCATGTTCAGCCAGGGCGAGCTGCAGCCACTCGGCCCCAGTTTGACGAGGGTGTCCAGGAAAATAACCACGTGGTAAGGGCTCCAACAGAGCAGGAAGACGCCTGTGACCAAAATGGCCACTTTGACGGCTTTCTGCCTCTGCCGGCGCTGGGACCGGCACAGGACCCGCACGATAGCCGCGTAGCAGTAGCACATGACCGCCAAGGGCAGGAAGAAGCCCACGATGTGGTAGAGGAAGCGAGTGGCCAGCCACGCGTTGCTGCCGTGGATGCCGTCCTTCTGGAAGTGGCAGATGCTGACGTTGTTGCTGTCGGGCCAGACCTCCGTGAAGAGCAAGTCCGGCAGCGTCAGCAGGAGGGAGAAGAGCCAGACCCCCAGGCACGTCAGGTGGACGGACAGGCTCCGCCGCTTCAGGAAGGTCCTCACCGCATGCACCACGGCCAGGTAGCGGTCCACGCTGACGCAGCCCAGGAGCAGGCTGCTGCTGTAGAAGCTGATCCTGTTGACGGCGCTGAGGACCTTGCAGAGGAGAGGCCCGAACACCCACCCTGCCAGACACTGCACCACCCCAAAGGGGAAGGTGAGCCCAAGCAGGAGGTTGGCCAGGGCCAGGTGGAGGAGGAACTGCTCTGTGGAGGTGCGGCTGTGACGGTAGCGCCGCAGAATCACCAGCACCAGGGTGTTGCCCAGCCCCCCCAGCACGAAGATCAGCAGGTAGGCCAAGGGCAGAAAGACCTTCTTCAGGGGGTGTCTGGCGCTGTCTTCTGCCTCAGCGCACAGGTAGTCGTCCTCATAGCTGGAGAAGTTGTCTGATGTGTAATTCGAGACCTAATGAGAGGGAGGGAGGGAGGGAGGGAGAGAGAGACATCACAGGGTAAGGCGTCTGCACAGCAGGGACAGAAAGGCATGTCTCCCGTCCTGGCAACTCTGGTGCCACGTCTTGCCTCCCTACGACGGCAGCAGAAGAACGAGAAGCTTTTATAAAATTATAGGGGTTTATATGACAAAGAGATTTTCCCTCCCTCTCCCAAAATACTAGAACTTGAGAGCACTGAATGAAACTGATGGGCAGTAGGTTCAGGACAGACAAAAGGAAATACCACTTTACACAGAGAGTGATTACCATGTGGAATCTGCTGCCAGAGGATGCAGTGATGGCCAGAGGAATAAATGGCTTTAGATAGATTCATGGAGAGTAAGTCTATCAATGGCTACTAGCCATGGCGGCTGAGGGGAACCTCCACATCCAGAGGCACTAAGCCTCTGAATCCCAGAGCCAGGAGGCAACATCAGGGGAAGGCCTCAGCCTCCCTGCCCTGTTGCTGGCCCTGCAGAGGGACTGGCTGACCCCTGTGTGAGATGGGAGGCTGGACTAGAGGGACCCTCACTGGTCTGACCCAGCAGGGCTCTTCTGGTGTCCTTCTCAGGGGGGAGGCCTCGGCCTCTCTGCCCTGTTGCTGGCCCTGCAGAGGGACTGGCTGGCCCCTGTGTGAGACGGGAGGCTGGACAAGGTGGACCCTCACTGGCCTGACCCAGCAGGGCTCTTCTTATATTCATAAGAAACTCTCTTTTAGCTTCCAGCTCTTTGGATGAGCACCAACCGTGACAGACTAAGCTTTTACCTAAGGACTCCATCTTGTCCACGCAGCAATGGGGAGAAGCCCCAACTCTGATAACGGAACGTTGGACTTACCATGAAGGTTCCTTCTTCTGGAGGGCGAGGAGGACACTCTGATACTCTTGGGTTCCTCTTCCCACTATCCCTGGAGACAGGAAATTGATTGCACTTCCCATCTCCGGGGGGTGGGGGGAGGCCTCAGTCTGGACACTTCCGCAGCTCAATGCGGGCCAAACAGACAGACAACAAGGCTTGCAGAACCCGATGAGACAAACCATACAGGTAAAGATAAACTGCTAGAACAGTGGAAGAACAATGGACATGGAGACCCTTTAGGAAGAGTCATAGGCTGAACAGAGACCCTCCAACCAGGGCGGGTCCAGAGTGTCCTCCTCGCCCTTGAGAAGAGGGAACCTTCAAAGCCTGGTCTCTCCCGAGGGGAGGAGGACACTCTGATACGCTTGGGATGTTGCAAAGCCCATCTGATCCAGGGAGGGCAAAGTGACTGCCAAGCATAGAGATAACGGTAGGACCAAACCACTTACGGCAGGACTCTCTGCCCAAATGTTGCATCAGCTGTGCCAATACAGTCCATCTTGTCGTGCCTGACAAACGTCGTCGCTGAAGCCTTGCAGATAGCTGCAACGGATGCATTTGTGTCAAACGCTGCTGACGTAGAAGCGCTTCTTGTTGAATGAGCTGTGAGCCCCTCTGGGGCTTGAAGGCCCCGAGGTTCTCGTGCCAAGGAGGGGCAGTCCTTTAGCCATCCGCTTAGGGTAGCCTTAGAAACCCTTTTCCCCGTGACTGCTGGATGAAAAGCCACAAAAAGAGAATCTGACTTCCTAAATGGCTTAGGTTCTTCTGATATAAATGTGAAGGGCTCTGTGAAGGTCAATATTATGGACTGAGATCGAGGCAGCTTTTCCAAAACAGTGATTTCTTTATTCAGCTCATGGCTTAACACAGGACAACACAACACAGAAAGACAGGTTGCTTACCTGTAACTGGCGATCTTCGAGTGGTCATCTGTGCATTCACACCCATGGGATACAGTGCGCCTGCGCTGGATCGATCAGTATTGTAGCAAGCTCTAACGGATTTTCGCGCCCAGACCTCAGGCATGCGTAGGAACCCCACCACGCATACCCAGAGGGGCGGGCGCGGACATCCCGCCAGTTCCTTCAAACCGCCGCAAATCAACCCCTATAAGAAATGTAGAAGCTGACAGCAGCGGGGAAGGAGGGCGGGTGGTGTGAATGCACAGATGACCACTCGAAGATCACCAGTTACAGGTAAGCAACCTGTTTATCTTCGACGTGGTCTCTGTGCTTCACACCCATGGGAGATTAGCGAGCAGTGGCCTACCTGGAGGAGGGTGCTGGCAGTTCCTTTACTGCGTAGCCGAAGATAGAATGTGACATCCCATGTTGGTACGAGAGTTCTTGCGGACATCCAGGGCGTAGTGCCTTATGAACGTACTAGAAATAAGGCCCGTTGTGGAAATAAATACAATGGGATTTAGAAAGAGGCTCTGGGAGAGTGCTCTGGCTTTGGGCAAACAGTATTAGTCTGCTTTTAAAACATGAACCTGGGACCTGCACAGCACTAAGGGAGTGCATTTTAGAATTAGAACTTTGGCACCCACTATTCAATTATATATAAGGAGAGATTAGGCATAGCCCACGTAGCGGCTCTGCAAATGTCCATTAGGGGAACTCCTTGCAGGAAGGCAGTTGAGGCTGCAACAGCTCAAGTTGAATGAGCCCTGATAGGGCCAGGCAATGGCTGCTTAGTGATAAGGTAGCAGAGGCGGATGGGGTCTACAATCCACCTTGACAAACGCTGAGCTGTGATGCGAGTTCCCAGCCTTGTTGGGGCATAGGAAACGAACAGTTGACAGTCACGTCTTGCTGGATGGGTTCTGTTTAGGTAGAACAGAAGTGTACGCTTCGTATCCAACGTGTGTAACAGTCTCTCCTCTGGGGATGTCAGAGAAGGGAAGAAATCCAGGAGGAAGACCTCTGCCTGTAGGTGAAATTCTGAAACTACTTTTGGCAAGAACGAGATGTCAGGTACAAGGCGGATGCCGTCTGGCAAAAATGACAGGTAAGGAGGATAATGTCTGAAGGCCAGTATTTCCCCAACTCGCCTCGCTGAAGTGACAGCCACCAGAAAGGCTGTTTTCCAGGACAGGAAATTCATGTCACAAGTTGCGAGCAGCTCAAAAGGTTTCCTGGTGAGTTGGCGAAGGACCAGGGGAAGGTCCCAGGGGACGACAGGACTTTTGATGGGAGGATAAAGGTGTAACAGTCCCTTCAAAAAACGTTTAGAAAGAGGATGTGAAAGCAAGTGTGTATCCTTCAACTTCAACATGGTAGGCCGAAAGTGCGGCCAAATAAACCTTCAACAAGGAATGCGACAGTTCCGAGTCCGCGAGAGACAGAAGGAAGTTGAAAACCTTCTCGAGACCTGCGGAGGCGGCTCGAGGGGCATCCTCACCCGAGGAACAAAACTTTCGCCACTTGTAGTGATAAGATTTTCGTGTAGTGGACTTTCTGGAATTCAGCAGTACATTCGCTATACGGGAGGAAAAGCTGTTGATACCACTCTCCAGGCTGTCAACTTCAGTCGTGGAACATCGTGGTATAGGAGAGGGGACTCGGTTAGGAACAATAGGTCCTGCACCGATGGAAATTGGTGGTAGACCCCCACTGACAGATCGAGGATGGTTGAGAACTATGGTTGCCTCGGCCACCATGGGGATATGAGTATGCAGTCTGCTTTGTCGGTGAGGATTTTGCGGACCACTCTCAGAAGCAGAGGCAGCGGAGGGAAGAGGAAGAGAAATTCTCCGGACCACGGGTAGAGGAGACCGTCTCCTAAAGGCAGGGCAGTAACAACGAAGATCCGCTACACAGAAAGGGTGCCTGGTAGGCTTGTCACGTTCCCTACATGTATGTGGCCCAAGGTTTAGGATTGTATGAATTGGAACATGTAAGCCGCTCAGAGCCCTTAGGGGGTGAGTGGGATACAAATGGAAATATAAATAAATAAATAAATAAATACTGCGGGTTGCTGCCACCTCGGCTGCAGAACAGAGGACACTTTTTGTTCACCCTGGTGGCGAAAACATATATCTGTGGGAACCCCCATTTGCGGAAGAGTGGAAGAAGGTAAGTTGGATTTATTTCCCATTCGTGCAAACTGAATCCTGCCTGACTCAGGTGGTCCGCCTGCACATTCATGTTCCCCCGGGATGTGCGTGGCAACTAGGAAAATGTTGTGGGCGATGCAAAAGTCCCATAACCGAAGGGCGAGCTCGCAGAGGCATTGAGAGACAGTGCCCCCTTGCTTGTTTACATAGCTGAGGGCAGTAGTATTGTCCGTGAGGACCGTGACACATTTCCCCTTGATCAGGGGCAGGAAACTGGTGATAGCGAACCGTATCGCAAGCAGTTCCAGGAAATTGATGTGCCGGTTCCGTTTCTGTGTCCCATCTGCCTCAGACACAAAGTCCCATCATGTGAGCGCCCCAACTTGAGAGGGAGGCATCTGTTGTCAGTGTGATCTGGGGTGATGGAGGATGGAAGGGTGCTCCCTGGAAAAGGTTGGAAGGGGCAGTCCACCAAAGTAAAGAGTCCCATACTTTGACAGGTGAGGATAGGTGGGTCGAGTGTGTGTCTCCCTCTGGATTGAAATTGCGGATAAATCAAAGTTGTAGGAGGCACATTCTCAACTTGTTGAAGACAAGGACGGATGTAGTAGCGGCCATCAGACCGAGGAGCCTCTGTATTTGGAAAGCCGTTACAGAGGGTTGAGTATGCATCACAGTGGCAAGATTCACGCCGATTGATGTCTTCTCCGTGGTGTTCCAGGTGCCCTCTTGTGTGATGTCTTGGCTGTCAGCAAGCGGCAGATCCGGGCAAAGTGTCCAATCTTTCCACAGTCATGACACTGGACATCACGGTATCGACACTTACGGTGGTTGTGGTCGCCACCACAACTGGTGCAGCGTGTTGCAGTAGTTGGTTGACGATTGGAGCGTTTGCTATCTTCGGCTCGTGTTCAGTGGACTCGGTCGTCCTCACTGTCAGAGTCTTCCATGCTTTCCCGATGCACTGGCTGTGCTTTCCAGAACTCCGGTGGCATTCTCGACTGCCGCACATCCCGGGTGGATCGCTCAGCTGCTTCGGCAGTGACAGCTTCCTCGTATGCTGTCTGAAAGGTAAGCTCTTTTTCGCAAATAAGCAGCATTGTAGCTTCTCCTTTAGTAGGCCACATACAAGCCGATCACGAAGCCGGTCGCTTAGGTCAGTGAAGTTGCACTGTCTGGCTGTCTTGCGGAGTGCAGTCACGTATTTGGCTACAGATTCACCCTCGGCCTGATCGCATTTATGGAAAGCGTGTGTGCATGCGATGTCGGATAGCTTGGAGGTGATGTCAGTGAGTGTTGTTGCCCTGAGTTCGGTGGGCGCCACTAGCGTCCAAGCCACTTTGAAATTTTTTTTCCCGCAGACACTCAGGAATGTAGCTTTCTTCACCTCTGAATCGGTGATCTTGGTCGCTGTGCCATAGAAGTCGAACCTGGACACGAAGGTGTCCCATTCTTCAAACGGCTCGAATTGACCTGTGGTGGCCATCGTAGTCTCGCTTGGGGGCGGTGGCGCTTGCTCGCTGGTGCCACTCATCCGCCGTGATTAGCTCTGAGGGGTCAAGGCGACGATTCTTTGCCCGTGTAGTGATGTCTTCTGGCTACCACTGTGGAAGCCATGGCCCTTGCTGAGAACTTGATCATGTCCAGGCTAGCCTCAGACATGAAGGCTGCCGCCGCCTCCAATTTGCGCAGAATTTAAATCTGGGTATTCTTGGGACAATTTACGAAGCCACACACATGAGGCTCTTGCCATCAGAGAACTGGCAGCTGAAGCTTTAATGGAGAAGGCAACAGCCTCATGGGCTCTGCAGAGAGCTGAGTCACTTTTTCAGTCATCGGCAGGGGTCTTTTGGGGCCAGAGTGCACCGGAGCACTGCTCCGGCAGCCCAGGGGCCTGTGCAAATGGTGGTGGTGGCTAGACCCCCCCCCCCAGCTCCCCACGCCAAAAGCACTGGGGCCAGGGGGACACCTGGAGAGCCCCGCCACCAGCTCCCCCAGGCCTGCGCAGAAGCGCTGCGGCTCGGGGGAGGCCGGAGAGCCCCACCACCGGCTTCCCCGGGCCCGCGCAGAAGCGCTGCGGCTTGGTGGAGGCCGGAGCTTGATGAGGGGTGGTGGGAGAGCCTCCCTCCCTCTCTCTATCTCTTTGCCATCTTTTCCTCATTTCCTTTTCTTTCCCTCCTTTTCTTTCTCTTCCCTTCCTTCCTTTCTCTCTTTTCCTCCTTTCCTTCTCTCTTTCTTTCATTTCCTCCTTTCCTTTCCCTTTCCCTCCTTCTTCCCTTCTCTTGCTTTCTTTCTCTCCTTCTTTCCTTCTCTTTCTTTCCCTCTTTCCTTCTCTTTTTATCCCCTTTTTCCTTCCTTTTTTTCTTCCTTCTTTCCTTCTCTTTCTTTCCCTCTTTCCTTCTTTTCTTCTCTCTACTCTCTCTCTTTCCTTCCCTCTTTCCTCCTTCTGTGGCCCAACTCTAGTGAGAAGGGGTTTAAACTTGAAAACCCTTCTCTCTTCACTCCCCCCCCCCCGCAGGCCAGCTGGGGAAGGGGAGGGGAGGCCTTTGAAGATGCCGCCCCCCATTTTTGCTTCCCCTTCTGACATCACTTCCGGTGATGTCAGGGGGCGTGGCATATGCTAATAGTCTAGTAGCTCATTAGCATAATTCCTGCAGCTCTTTTTCTTCAAAAAGACCCCTGGATCGGGGTCTTTCAGGGTGCCCCGTCCCTCTTTTGGAAGAGCCACCCCCGATGCTAAGCGAGCCACAGGAGCATCTACCCCCGAAACTTTCAGTAAGATGGTTCCCTTGGGAAGAAAAATGTACATGCTTTTAGCCTGTCCAAAAGGTAAACAGTTATCATTGGTAGGCTCTGACCATTCCTCTTTTATCTCAGTTTTTAAAAAGGAAGGGGAGGGAAAGGCTGAACCCAGCTCTCTCACCCTAGAGAAAATCTCGGGGGGGGGGGCTTATTGTCCTCCTCCTCCTCCTCCCTGGGGACTTCCACCTGAGGGGCAGACAGCCGCAGGATTTGTAATGCTTTATGTAAGGGAGCGGGAAGCTCCTCGCGGGTAGTTGGCCTGCTCCGTTGAGGGACTTGGTCCTCAGACAACTGGCCTTCCTCTTTGTCCAGTTCTGCCTCAGAAACCTCAGAGGCTCAGGGGGAGTCCCCATCTTCCCATCTAGAGTCTGAGAAATTTGAATAACTGCTCCTAATGGAGGAGGTGCTTTTACGGGCAGCCTTTGTTGGCCAAGAGGAGCCCTGGCATTTCTCTGTGCCTAGAGGCCTTGGCGTAGCTACTTTTTAAAAAAAGGTGTTTGACTGGAGGGGGAGGAGGGAGGGCGGGAAGGGGCCTCCTGTCGTCTTCTCCAGGAGGGTAAAGAAGCTCTCCCCCCCCCCTTCTCTAACTGACTGGGGACAGATTGTTCTAGCAAGTCCTGGGAGCCCGGTGGGACGACAAAGGGCTCTCCCCCCTCTGGCTGGGGACTCGCTGCTCTGTTGGCCGCAGAAGGCTATATTGTGCAGGCCTGATGGGCCAATACAGGCCGTCCCGGCTGATCAGTAGTAGGTGCAGTTTTGGTGCCAAAAATCGAGCCTGCTTCTTCATGATCCAAGATGATTCGCAGCCTGTGGCCCTCTCCAGGAGCTCTGCCGCAGCGGCAGGATAGCTGGGCAAGCGGGTTTGCAGGGGTTTCCTACTGCGCTGCCTGGGGATCACCTTGCACAGTCGGTCAGAAACCTCAGCTGCAGACATCGCCATGACTGAAGCAGCGGGCAAAAGGCAAACAGAAAAAGTGTGTCTTTTAACCAAAGGGAGAGGCACACAGAAAGGCACACACCTGGAAAGAGAAAAACAAAGTGCAGGCAAAGGAGCTCCTTAAAGGAAAATCTCCAGAGCTCTCTCGATCCACTGCTCTCTCAGGCGGAGGCAGGAAAAAGACGGGGTGGGGGTGGGCTCCTCCCCTCGAGGCCACCCCTCGAGATGAAAAGCACAATCAGTTTCCTGCCTCAAGCATGTCAAAATGTCCTCCTCCCCTTGAGAAAGAATGAAGGTAGTGCTGAACTTTACACTACTGCCACTTGAAGAATAGCTAGCCTGTCCTGATTAAATATCATTTAGGGTAAGCGCTCACTGTAGGGTAGGGAAAGGGGACTGCACATTTTCACTTTTATTCCCCAAATTCCAGCATCCAAAAAACCTACCTGAAATGGAATCCTGAACCCACAAAGTAAAAACGGAGATAATGGAACTGGTGCCCTCCCCGACATCTGAATGTGAAATTAAAGCAATTTTTTCACAGTGCACAAGCCTATTGCTTACCAGATCACCCTCTTCAAAGAACTCCCAGAGACTGGTGAGGCAGGACTTCCCTTTGCAGAAACCATGCTGGTTTTCCTCAGCAGGCTTTATTCTTCTGTGCGCTTCATAACCACGTGTCTTTAATAACAGTTTTGAGGAACTCAGCCAGAACTGGCTAGCTGGCCTGTAATTTCCTGGATGCCCCTGGAGCCCTTCTTAAAAATCATTTTAATGTTTGGTATTTCCAGTTTGATTTTAGAAACAAGCTATTAAGTAGGCCAACAATTTCAGACTGGGGTTCCTTAAGAGCCCTCAGGTGTATGCCACCCAGACCTGGAGACGTCTCTGTTTTCAATTTGCCTAGCAGTCCAAGACCTTCAGCACTCATTGCCCCAATTCGACTGAATGATGTTCAGGTGGCTGTTCTGCCCTGCGAAAAGGAAAAAAACAGCCACTCACCTGTTTTCACACCTGAGCCTATGGGAGTGTTGCTCCAGCATCCAGTCACCTTTCAGAGGAGGAGGACGTGCTCCCTCCAAGCTGTGGAGTCCTGTGAGCAAAAATCCTACTTTGTGAGCGACTAGCATTAAAGTTGTGAGCGAGCGATTTGGCTACTGCTTCGATTAGTTTGCTCTGGAGCCCTCCTTTCCTGAGCTAAGTCAAAGATGTGTGAGCTGGGGGCTAAAAAACTGTGAGCCAGCTCACACTAGCTCAGCTTAGAGGAAACACTGAGCAGGAGTTCGGGTCTGCCTCAGGGAGAGGATAGTCATAATTTCTGGTCTGCCTCAGCACAAGAGCAGACAGTATGAAGGTTAGCTCTGCCTGGTACTGTAGCAGAGTGGTTTAGCCCTACCTCTGGGAGCGGACGGAGTACCTAGTGGTTAGGCCTGTCTCTGGGGATGAGCAGACCTTGTGCCATTGACTTTGGAAAGGGCAGGCTGGTAAGGAGCTTAAATTGATGTGCTTCAGCCAGGTTTCTTCTTTGACTATCTGGAGACCTGTGCTGCTGACCTGTGCTCTACAACCAACCTATAAGTAATGAGATCTTCCTTGTTGTTTACATATACATACAACTCCTGCTTCTTAAAGGCAGGTTTTTCACACTCAAAATATATAGCATGAAAAAGTGCAAAGACTTTTTCAATTTTTCCAATAGAATCATTGGGACATTTTGGGGAGCACTGGGAGGGGGGGGGGACTCCTGTGAAATATTTCTCTCATAGAGTGATAAGAACCTTGTCTTAAAGAGTATTTACCTCTGTAATGATTTCTTGTTTTGGTGTGTGTGTTTCAAACAGCCACGCTCCCCCGCCCCCCGCATTTTCGCGCCCGCGTACTTGTGTGTCTGCACTAGTGTTCCCTCTAAGCTGAGTTAGTGTGAACTAGCTCACAGTTTTTTAGCCTCCGGCTCACAGATTTTTGTCTTAGCTCAGGAAGGATGGCTCCAGAGCAAACTAATTCATGCAGCAGCCAAATCGCTCACTCACAACTCTGCCTGGTACTCACAACTTTAATGCCACAACTTTAATGCCAGGAGCTCACCAAGTAGAATTTTTGCTCACAGGACTCCACAGCTTAGAGGGAGCCTCGGTCTGCACAGAAGATGTTGATGAACAACAGTTACAGGTAAGTGCAACTCTTTTATTTATTTTATTTTCTTTATCATTTAATTTCTACCCCGCCCTTCCCACCACGGCAGGCTCAGGGCGGCTTACATAGGATATCACACAGCTAAAACAAATTTAGATAAAATCATAACAATGTAAGTATAAAACATTACAAAGTGCTAGTGCTAAGATAACTCATACACAGTGGCAGGGGTCATTTCCTGCAGGAGCGCACTGGAGCGGATCTCCGGCAGTAAAGAGCCCAGGGGCGGGCACATGCAACAAGCCCCACCCCCTGCTCCCAGCAGCCCTCAGTGAGAGCAAGAAACAGACAGGTAAGGTGCAGAGCTCCCCCCGGCCCCCTGGTCCAAAACAGTCCAGTGGCACCTTTAAGACCAAGTTTTATTCAGGTACAAGCTCTCTCTCTCCTCTGTGAGGACAGATCTGCATGTCCCCCCCCCCCCAAAAGCGAGCAATCCAAAATAGTCCAGTGGAGCCTGAGTGGTGGGTGTTGCCTTCTGACACACTTCCGATGATGTCAGGGGGTGTGGCATATGCAAATAAGTTATGCTAATGAGCTCCTGCACCTCTCTTTCTACGAAATGACCCCTGCACAGTGGCGGGCATAAATAACATCCAACAAAC